GTGGCTTTGGCACACAGCACACTTCCAGTGGCTTTTAGCATATTCACAGACATGCAACCAACTACCACAGTCAATTTTAGAACATTTTCATCACCTCAAAAAAGAAATCCCATACCCTTTAGCTATCACTACCCTACTTCCCCATCCCCCAAGCAACCAGTCATCTATCTACTTTCTGTCTCTACAGATCTGTCTATTCTGGACATTTCATATGAATGTGGTCCTTTGTGACTGGCTTCTTTCACTTAGCATAATGTTTTCAAGCTTGACCCATGTTGTAGCCTGTGTTAATACTTCATCCCTTTTTATGGCTGAATAATATTCCATCTGTGCAGCTGCTGTGCTGAGGCCTCCTGCGCTACTCTCTGGAACTGGATCTCCAGTTTCCTGGATTCAGTATCTTCCTCTTTCTTGGTGGGTTCCTATATTTTGGTGGAACACAGTCTCCAATAACATCTGTCCATACCTCAGATGGATGCATGGGAGGTAAATAATTTGAGACATCAAATGATGTATGTCTAAAAATGTCATACTTGATTGATAGCTGTTTAGGTGTAAAATTCTGGGTTGAAAATCATTTTTCCCCAGGATTTTGAACACTTTATTCCTTTGTCTTCTAGATTTCAGGGCACTGTTGAGACATCCAGGTGGTGCAGTGGTTAAATGCTTGGCTGCTAGCCGAAAGGTCGGCGGTTCGAACCCACCAGCCGCTCCACAGGAGAAAGATATGGCAGTCTGCTTCCGTAAAGATTTACACCTTGGGAACCCTATGGAGCAGTTGTGTTCTGTCTTATAGGGTCATAGGGTCATATGGGATCAACTCTACAGCAACAGGTTTTTTTTTTTTCTTTTTTGGTTGAGACACCTAGTACCATCTGATTCTCCATCCTTTGAATGGGATCTGCTGTTGCATTGAACTTTTAGGATCTTATTCCATGTATTCTGAAATTTCACAGTAATGAGGCTTTGTGGGTTTTTTTTTTAATTGTGGTAAAATATTCACAAAATAAAGTTAGCCATTTTAACCCTTTTCAAGTATACTAGCCAGTGGCATTAATTACATTCACCATGTTGTGCAACCAGCACCATCTGTTCCTAAAACTTTTTCATTACCCTAAAAGAAGCTCTGTACCCATTAAGCAATAACTCCC